GTTCGGAAGCGGGTTAACGCTAACCCAAGATTAAAAATTAACTAAAGAATAATCTTTCACTTCTTTTGTTTTGTGTATTTTGAGATTATTCAAACTCAAAACAGAAGGCCAAACATTATACAGAAAACCTCATTGCAAAGTTACAAAACTCAAATCAAAATTCTCGCTTATACTGGTTTAGCTTGATCAGACTTTGAACAACCCTTCCCAGGAGCTCCGCTTTTAGGCTAGATCTATATATTAATCTGCGAACAGATCAGCATGTTTCCCATCAGCCTGTTCAGGCGTGCACTGACATTCTAAGAGCAATAAACGAGGAAATCTCAGACTCTAGTCCGCTGTATTGTTTATGTGTTATGACGACATGCCATAATCATAAAAACCCCGACTTCATTATTGCGTACTCTTCTGTCTCCAAGAAAGCTTGGACTCACTTTCAGAACTGGTAGATGCAGTTGCGCCTGTTTGAGGTCGCATGCCTACTATGGACGAGGCATTCACATCAAGATCTCCAAGCTTTCCATCTTTTGCAGCGTCTTGAAGTGTCNACTTGTTTTAAACAGGGCCGGGTCGTTCGGAAGCGGGTTAACGCTAACCCAAGATTAAAAATTAACTAAAGAATAATCTTTCACTTCTTTTGTTTTGTGTATTTTGAGATTATTCAAACTTAAAACAGAAGGCCAAACATTATACAGAAAACCTCATTGCAAAGTTACAAAACTCAAATCAAAATTCTCGCTTATCCTGGTTTAGCTTGATGAGACTTTGAACAACCCTTCCCAGGAGCTCCGCTTTTAGGCTAGATCTATATATTAATCTGCGAACAGATCAGCATGTTTCCAATCAGCCTGTTCAGACGTGCACTGACATTCTAAGAGCAATAAACGAGGAAATCTCCGACTCTAGTCCACTGTATTGGTTATGTGTTATGACGACATGCCATAATCATAAAAACCCCGACTTCATTATTGAGTGCTCTTCTGTCTCCAAGAAAGCTTTGACTCACTTTCAGAACTGGTAGATGCAGTTGCGCCTGTTTGAGGTCGCACGCCTACTATGGACGAGGCATTCACATCAAGATCTCCAAGCTTTCCATCTTTTGCAGCGTCTTGAAGTGTCCTAAGTACATCGCTCTCTTTAACAGTAGATTTGAACTTCAGGGCGAGATCAACAATCACACTTCCACACCTTGGAGGACACACACGACAAAAACGTCAAAGAAAAGTTTGAAACTAAATTTACAGTCAACTGTACAATAATAGCTAGTTATCAATCTGAGTGAACAGTCTGCATACCTGACATCTAAAAGTATCGAGTTTTGATAATTAATTTCACTCGTAAAGATCCCGTCAATCTAAGATAAAAAATATAAAAGCGATTATTTCATACATTTTTAACTCTCTATTTTCATTAGCATTTAAATGCATGTGTATGAGATTGAACAAGCTTGAACAAGCTGTTGTCAGACAATATTGGTACATATAACATATTCATGTAAGACCTCTGGAACTTACTTAGTTATTTCCCTGCTGAGGCAAAAACCACTATTTGGTGGGCTCGTAAACATTTACCGCTTTCATTTAAAAAGCAATTGGCAAGACTAGGTTCTGAAGACCAGAAAATTAACTTTGCTTACGACCCGTACTGTCGACCCGCAATAAAAGGTAAATTTATCAGGAGCAATTCAAATCAACAATTATTTACAAATCCATTAGCAAGTACATGTTAATATGTGAAGTCAAAAGCTGTGACATTACCGTCTCCTGTAGTTTACTCCACAACGAGCCTGACTGGCTGAATTGTCCATCAGTACAACTTTCACTTGTGATGACCAGTGTCACATTAATTACAGTGCTTGCCACGACTGGTTAGAGAAACATATCAAAGAACGAAAATGTTAATGCTCTCATTTGCTTGCATGGTTTTTAGTTGAATGTGTTTATATTGATGATTTTCGTAGGTCCACGTAGATTTCAAACCAGAATAAAAGATCTCAATGAAAGATCTCATTCTAAGTAGAGCAACGGATGCTTTTTACACAAATGTAAATAACTGAATCCATATGATCTTAGACGTGGTAAACAACACATGGAAACGTCAATCCTTTGACATACAATACATCAGAACGACCCNCTCGTAAACATTTACCGCTTTCATTTAAAAAGCAATTGGCAAGACTAGGTTCTGAAGACCAGAAAATTAACTTTGCTTACGACCCGTACTGTCGACCCGCAATAAAAGGTAAATTTATCACGAGCAATTCAAATCTACAATTACGTACATATCCATTAGCAAGTACATGTTAGCATGTGAAGTCAAAAGCTGTGACATTACCGTCTCCTGTAGTTTACTCCATAACGAGCCTGACTGGCTGATTTGTCCATCAGTACAACGTTCACTTGTGATGACCAGTGTCACATTAATCACAGTGCTTGCTACGACTGGTTAGAGAAACAGATCAAAGAGCGAAATGTTAATGCTCTCGTTTGCTTGCCATGGTTTTTAGTTGAACGTGTTTATATTGATGATTTTCGTAAGTCAACGTACGATTTCAAACCAGAATAAAAGATCTCAATGAATCAATGAATCTCACTCTAAGTAGAGCAACGGATGCTTTTTACACAAATGTAAATAACTGAATCCATATGATCTTAGACGTGGAAAACAACACATGGAAACGTCAATCCTTTGACATACAATACATCAGAACGATCCTATAGTTTGGCCAGTCAGCAATACAAGGCTATGGACATGGATATGTCAAAATAATACATCCAAGAAGAGAATGAAAAATTAAAATTAAGGTAAATTAATTAAATCAAGCTACACGCTCGTCTGGTAGCTTATGCAGAAGATTGATAAACGAAAATGCTGTCAGAAATCCCCTTATACGGTCTGTTTGCACAGAGTGGCTGAAGCCTAAGTGTACCATGTCGAGCATAATTAGGTCGATTTAGACCGCATGTGACGAATGTTAGCGACACAAACACCTGCTTGCGACAGAAAAAGCTTCTCAGGGGCAATCAAAGCTACTGTCTTGAATGGTAAGAAAAATGTCAAAATGTCGTGGGATTGATCTTAAAGGTGTTCTTAAACCCTGCAACACACGTAGCGTTCGACACTGGGCATGACTGGGTATATTACAAAGTTACGCCGTCTAAATCGGCCCGAGAGATTTATATACAGCTATAATTAATAAACCTCGCTACCTAACCATGGACAATAATGATCGACAACAGATACTAACTGATGTCAAGCTGTTGTCGTCATATAAAGATATATGCTACTCCTGACATTCAACTTATCCCTTGACTATAAAGGGAAAACTCTGAACTTTGTTCGAAGTCTCCACAACCTTGCCAGCCGGGCCTTTGGCTAACGGTCCTGCATGTATATATCTCATAACACATAAATTACCAGGTATCAGCTTACCAAGGCTGGTATTTCTTGTATCACTGCCCAAACTATTTGTCACGTTGCAAGTATAGACAATGTCACGTAGCACTTCTGAGATGTTTAGCGTGCTTTCATGGCACACACTTTGCTGTGGATCACATGGTGTCCAAGAATAAGCCGGCTCTGGATTTCCTTCTGCTCTACACTGAAGAGAAACACTTTGCTGAGCTGCAACTTCATGTTCACTTGCAAGTTTCATAATCTTGGCAGGATCTGTCAAAAAAAGTAGTATTAAAAGTACGAAAACTGATACCCAGCAAAAAATTCTCTCATGTCTTCAATCCATCCAATTTGCATAACATACATTTATTAATCTCCAGGTTGCTAGCACGGCTTGAAGTCAAGTGTCAGTGGCCAATAATATTACTCGACACACAACCAATTATCCTTGGTAGACTAGTGTTGTTTACCTCCCTTCCCCTCCCCCCCAGAAAAANGCTGAAGCCTAAGTGTACCATGTCGAGCATAATTAGGTCGATTTAGACCGCATGTGACGAATGTTAGCGACACAAACACCTGCTTGCGACAGAAAAAGCTTCTCAGGGGCAATCAAAGCTACTGTCTTGAATGGTAAGAAAAATGTCAAAATGTCGTGGGATTGATCTTAAAGGTGTTCTTAAACCCTGCAACACACGTAGCGTTCGACACTGGGCATGACTGGGTATATTACAAAGTTACGCCGTCTAAATCGGCCCGAGAGATTTATATACAGCTATAATTAATAAACCTCGCTACCTAACCATGGACAATAATGATCGACAACAGATACTAACTGATGTCAAGCTGTTGTCGTCATATAAAGATATATGCTACTCCTGACATTCAACTTATCCCTTGACTATAAAGGGAAAACTCTGAACTTTGTTCGAAGTCTCCACAACCTTGCCAGCCGGGCCTTTGGCTAACGGTCCTGCATGTATATATCTCATAACACATAAATTACCAGGTATCAGCTTACCAAGGCTGGTATTTCTTGTATCACTGCCCAAACTATTTGTCACGTTGCAAGTATACACAATGTCACTTAGCACTTCTGAGATGTTTAGCGTGCTTTCATGGCACACACTTTGTTGTGGATCACATGGTGTCCAAGAATAAGCCGGCTCTGGATTTCCTTCTGCTCTACACTGAAGAGATACACTTTGCTGTGCTGGAACTTCATGTTCACTTGCAAGTTTAATAATCTTGGCAGGATCTGTCAAAAAAGTAGTATTAAAAGTACGAAAACTGATTCCCAGCAAAAAATTCTCTCATAATGTCTTCAATCCATCCAATTTGCATTACATACATTTATTAATCTCCAGGTTGCTAGCACGGCTTGAAGTCAAGTGTCAGTGGCCAATAATATTCCTCGACACACAACCAATTATCCTTGGTAGACTAGTGTTGTTTACCTCCCTTCCCCTCCCCCCCAGAAAAAAAACAGATGTCCTTCGCTGCAATGCTTAAAACCAAAGATAACGTCTTCATCACTAAACTAACTACATACCCAACTACAGCAAATTTGTTCTTCACAAATAAAGAAAGCAACCTTTGGAAGAAGCATTTGTTCGATTTCTAACACCTGGAAGACCTAGTCAGGACCTCACTTTTGTCGCCGAGCGAGGTTGCAGATTCATAAATAGACTTTCAGAAAGAATAGAACATGACATTTAAGCATCCGGGCAGGGGCGGATAAATGAATTTTCAAGAGGGNACTTCAATAAACCTCAGAAGTGTTGTGTTTACTTGCCTTCAACCTCGTCCCCGTCCAGCTACACCTAATATCTGCCCCTGCGGACTCTTAATCAAAGAAAAAGGTATATTCACTTACATATGACATTCACTTTGACATTGTGGCTAACCGGTTTTCCAAACCCATTGTCAGCTGTACAGCGGTATGTCCCAGAGTTACTTCTACTGATGTTTGGGAAGTCCCACGTTTGACCCTGGTACAGTATTTCACTACTGCTACCATCCTCCAACACTCTGATCCAGGTGACGTTTGGTGTTGGTTCACCAGTTGCTTCACACAATAACTGCATGTTCGAGTCTTCAAGAACAGTCTGGTCACGACTTACATTAGTAAGGTTTGCTGCAACTGAAAAGAACATGCGTTTATTAATTTTCGTGGCTTTGATTGGTCTCCGTTTAAGTTTAATCGTAGCATAAGTTCCAGCCCAAGTGTTTTGGTCGATTCACGAGTCAAGGTCGAGTCAAATAATATTTATTTCACTTTTTCTTTTTTTATACAAAATCGTTTGACGATAATTGTTAAAAAAGTTGTCAGTCAGGTTTCACAGGAAACAGTTTTCCACCGCAAGCAACTGCAAACGCGATCACGAAACCAAGATTTCGTTGTGCATTTGAAAACAATATAGCCTTACGACTACCGGCATTCCTCACCAAGGCTTGCCATCTATTAATTTCGCGGAGAAGGCTTCTCTAGAAAACCCGGTACACAAATAAAAAGAAGGCCATCCATCAATTTAGCCGCAGAGAGAATGGCTTGGAATCTATCATGCCCTATGGATGCAACAAGGTGGCTCTCGAATGCCGCGTAATGCTATTGTTATACTCTATGTCAATTTTCACTGTGTGTCGTTGAAGAAGACCCTATGCCTTAGCCTTGTGTAATTGACGAAAATAAATGGATGTTGATGATTGTTTCAGAAGAAGCTGAAATCCCGCTATTCTCGTACCTATAGTACATCATTTTGACAAAGAAATTACAACTAAAAGACCACATGAGGCCAAAAACACATACGTTTAACCTGACTCGAACTTGACCCTGTCTCGCGGTACGATTAAACTCGTCCCTGTTTGCATTACTAGACAATGGCCTTTGCCAGCAGTGACATTGACAATAAGGTTGGTGGCTCCATCATAAGTTAGCTATACCGTGTATAAACACAACACAAAGAATTGCCATTGGTCTATAACGACGGCAGCAGTGAATATAATGTCTACTTCAATATGGTCCATGTACTCTTTCACTAGGTCCATGTAGGGTTTGCCAGGTAAGCGGGGAAAAACGGAAGAAAACGAAGTTTTCGAAACAACCAAATATTTCTGAAGCTACTTACATTGCACTGAAATTTCTATTATGCTTGTTAGCCCACCAAGCTTGTTATAGTTTAAAGTTTCAACCTTAAACTTGTATCTTCCCCTGTCTGATCTAAGCGCTGTAAGAATAGTCATCGACGCTTTGGTATCATCTATATGGATTCTGATTCGGTCTCCATAAGCGGGCTCCACATAGAGGTCACCCTGCCCGGATTTGTTTGCAATGCGCTTTTCTTCACCATCACGGAGATCAAAGAATGTAGCGTCTCGAAATGAAGGCGACACGCCAAGTGTGTAGCTATACCTCCACTGCAGAGTGATATTGTTCCCTTCCTGAACAGTTGACAGGTTTAATGGTGTTTGATCCCAGTGCATTTGAAGTTCTTAAAACGTCAAAATGAAAAATAAAACAAGATATGTAAGTTGACTTCACTGCTAAACAAACATTAACATTCACTACAAAACTTTTTTGCATGCACTGGGAACTAAATCAGTGCCATCTACCATAGCCCCTTTAATAAACTAATAAATAAATATCTTAATTAACCACTACCCCATAGGGGCTTTCAGAGCCAATGGAAACAAAAAAGGAAACAAATAATGTAACTAAAGATATAACATGGTTAAAAAACCCAACAGGCAGGAGGCAGACCTCTTGGCTGTTTACAAGGGTGACCGAGGAGTTAAACTCGGGACAACAAAGAACTAGTGGGAACGGGATTTGAACCCGCGACCTCGGGATTCCAAGAGTGGCACCACACGCTGCCGCGCTGCCCCCTTTTCTGCTTAACTATATTGAAATACGGTTCCATTTTAGAAAAAAAAAGGAACGTATTCTGCTGCGTCGCTTGTACTAGAAGTACACATACACATCCACATCGACTTCAACTTCAGCTCAGCCGTCACTGGCCGTCGATAAAACCAGGAACATGGAACATTCTGGAACATCCCGGAACATCGAATAACTATGATAATTATGAGAAAAATATGTAAAACTAGATTTTCGAAAATATAATAAACAAAAATAAACTGGTATCAGCTTGGAAAATATANCGCAGTTGGCGGGAAAGAAGAGGAGCCTACACTCATTTTGGTCTGTTGAAGGAATACCCAACGTTCCCTACCTCTCCCCTACCGACTCCCTTACCCCTAAAATATCTTTTCGTATTTCGAACTGATACCAGTTTATTATTGTTTATTTTATTTTCGAAATAAAACAGACAGAGTGACACAGTTCTTACCTGTCAACTTGACACGAACTTTGTATCGCCACGTGATCGACGTCGTAAGCTTGCATTGGAAGGTAGCTTCTTCTCTTTCAGTGGCTCTGTTTATTATCAAGGTGGCCACTTGACTTGTGCTGATATTAAAACGTGCTCCGAAATTATTGACTATTGTCGTGGTCTCACTACCATCACTACCATGCAATTTGAAGCCAATATCGATAGCACTGACAGAGCCTTCTTCAAAAATGGAAAATGTAGTAATTTGCAGGTTTGAGCCGGGGGACAGTATGTAATTCCATTTCAGATGCACTTGTGTACTTCTATTGAATACCAAAATGTCAACTGTTCTAATGCCAGTTGGGTCTGTCTGATTCCAGGCTGGCGGAGGTGCTGTCCATGTTACAGAAGTTGCTGCAAGATTTTCACGTCACAATTTTAAATTGACTTCTAAACACACCATCGGTTTTTACTGTAATAATGCTGCTATCGTAAATACCCGCTTCTAATTGGTTGGAAGCGGATCAGTTTATCTCAAATTGTATCGATAGCTGAACAATTAACGTCAGTTGCATTAGTCTCATTTGAGCAATCAGCTCTTGATAATGAAAGCGAACATGTCCCAGATTAAACTTCCACTTATGGAGAAGCAACAGTAAACAAAAACACCAAAAAATCAATCGAAACTTAACTCCGTACTAGGTACACTGGGAGAGAAGCTTGCATTTACGATTGCCCTGTTATTAAAAGGAAATAGGCTTTTTTCTCGAGTCAATTAGGGATTTATTGTACTGGTGAACAGATCTGAATTTTTCTAATTCCCACAAATAGAATTAGGAGTCAGATCTGTTCACAAGTACAGTGAATCCCTAATTGTTTCGAGAAAAAAGACCGTTTTCCTATAATAATTAGACCAATACAAATCAAATCAATGTTTACAAGTTTGATTACCAGTTGCTGCCGGACGCAATGGTCAAATGTGCCTTCATATATAAACCGTGCAGGCCTAATAAAATGGCAAAATTCATCCCAAACCCATTTGAAGATTGCTTTGCAATTGAGAAAACCGGACCGCTTCATAGCTTGAAGAAAGGTATTAACCATCTCAAAAAGAGCTAGCTGTGTTGAGAATCACAGAAACGACAAACGAGTGATGACATCGGCTTCGTAAACTAAGGCATTTTGCGATCGTTTAACAAGGCAATGAAAAAGAAATGAATTCATTTTGTTCGACGAAAGAGATTAACAACGGCTACAAGTTGTTCAGTAAATTCACGATATCAACAGACCTGACGGGTACGCAGCAACGTCAGCATTTACGTTATTTGCATGGGAATCCAATGGCAAATAAGTTTCTTAAAATTGAATTCTGAACAATTTATGAATACCAAATTTGATGACTGTTACTTTGCTAAGTTCGCGCAACTTCGCGGAAAAAATTATAGACAAATGTGTGGAAAATTAAAAACTCGGGTAGACGCTTTCCAGCACAGCTACATGTATGTCCCTCAGATTTGGATATGCAAACCTTTGTCTAGTATCCAAGGGAGGATTAAAGTTATTGACCATGGGATTTCGATACAAACAAAGTACTTTCTGCCGAGTGTTGCCTTCTTATCAAGATGGTTTCCAGGACAATGATAGGGTCTACAACAGAGCGGTTTCATTTGTTTTCATGTGTCGAAAAGTAATTGGTTTTTGCACTAATACACGATTGGCTCAAAAAACCTCGCGCCACCTTTTCATCCTATCAGAAGTAAAACCAAAATCGCACTCATTTTCCCGCTCTTTGCGTCAGCGACACGTAATTACTTGGAGTTTTGATTGGTCCACGGGTTGTCTGCGTCCTTTGTGATTGGCTAGAGTGATTATTTCGTTTTTGGTTTTAAGACACTCAATCCTCCGCAGAAAAAAGATGGCGACTGGTTCATTAACCCATTATTCTTAACGCACGGAAACTCTAGCAACGCTCATAAAAACGTGCAGAAAAGTTCTAACACCTTCAAACATAACATACACTTTGTCGTAAGTACAGGGACAAATATTGCAAAAATATAGCTTTTCATGTACTGAATAGGCTGTGCAAGGTTCGCATGGTATTGTGGTAAAATGTACAGCCGCGATCCTCTTTCCTAAGGAGGATTAAAACCGCTCTAAAAGAATTGGGATTTACATATCTCAAGAATGGGAAATGTAGGTGCTGGTCATATTTAAGACTCGTGACTCTCCGAATATTTGAGCGTCTAATAAGTTAAGGAAGTTCGAAATTATGTGAAATTAAAATAGTTTGTTTTTGCACGGGGGTCAGGAAAAGGCTGCCACTTCCTGTGTGGCCTTTCGAGGGATTTTTAAGAAATGTCTTGTTTGGTTCGCTCCTGGTTTTGCTCAATTCCGGGTCAGCGTGATTTTCTTCCAAAACGTTTGCCAGGTTGTACAAATATTCAGTCTCGAGAACTCCATGCGTTTTAGCCTGCTGTGCAGACAGATTTCCGCGTGACTGAACCACGAGAAGAAATAGTAGATGTCTGTACCCAGGCTACCACCCCTAAACTGTGTGTGAGTCCTCTCAAAAGATACATGTAAGTCTTGATTAGTTGATTTTGCAACGAATCACTCGCTAATTTCTTTGCGAAGGCGCTTGCATCGTTTTCAAACAGTCCACGAAATCAAAAGCGAGACTTCGTCAGGCGGTCAAATCTACAATTCAAACCAAGAATGGAACATACTCGCACCATCACTTCATTGGCTG